TCATTGTCCATTGCGAAGTTAGCAGTGGTAGCACCACCTTATTTGGGGCACATTTCGAAATGAAGTTCGATTGATGATTAACTCCCCCCCCCCTCACCCCACCGGTTGTTCATAAAATGAAACAGAAATAGATAGAGAATGGCGGAGAATTCAAAGGCGTAAAGGAAGCGGAGGATGGAGCACACGAGAGGAATTGTGGAAGGGAGTAGGTAACAAAGATAAAACTAAAGCGGAAACGGAAGCAGAAGTTCTGTTCAAAGAACAGGGAAATGGGTTGTAACGAGCAGGAAGCGGGGAAGGGAATAGTGAAGATTAAATAGAACGGAAGAGGAAAGGAAGTTCAATATATTGAGGATAAAGAGGAAACAGAAACGCAGCGATAGAGAGGAATTAAAACGCAGAGGGAAAGTTGGTGCACAGAAAAGGAAGGAAAGTGAAAGTGGACAGATAACGAAAGTGAAAGATAAAAGCGAAATTGAACCCGATATTTATAGAATGCGATATACTTATCTTTACTAGAAGAATCGAAGAGGAAAGCAGGGAATTGGAGCTAATACAGAAAAAGAGTGCGGAGGGTGAAAGTGAAGAAGAAAGAGAAGGGAGAAATTAAAAGGGGATACGAACCGGAAAGACAAGAAAAAGAAACAGACAAGGAGCAAGAGCGGATGGAGAAGAAAAGGAAAGGAAATTGAAAATGATGAAGGTGAAGAAGAGAAGAAAACAAACATGAAGAGAAGGTGGAAGAAGAAGAAGAATTGAAGAGGGAGAATACTGCGTTTTGAGCTTCTTTTCAAAATGAGCAAAGTCCCTAACATTGAAATGAAATTGGACATTACTTCTGACCACTACTGTACATGCATACACTACGGATACAGTGTGACCCAACTAAAGCCGGTACTATCCCTAACTTTCTTATTACTGGAGTCGCGAGATCGGATAAAAAGAAATGAAAAAAGGTTTTCGCCTTAAGGCGCATTTTCCATGAATTGATCAGTTCTACCTGAAAGGTCATGTAACGGATTATTTATGTGTACAAAGGAAAATAATTTATGGCATAAATATTCTTATAATTAAGGAACTTATCATTGCGCAGTTAGAAGAATCTGTGGTTAAATTATCAATAAAATATCTCCATAAATAAGAAAGTTAACATATGATTTTTATAATATGCGATATGCTTGTCTTTATTACAAGCATCTGTAGATAAAATTTCAATAAAATATCTCCATAAATAATAGAGTTGACAATGCTGCGCATGCGCACATCTGATATTTACAATATGCGTTATGCTTGTCTTTATTACAAGAATTTGCGGATAAAATTTCAAAAATTCCATAAACAATAAAGTTGATATTGTTTGCGCATGCGCACATCTGATGTTAACAATATGCGGTATGCTAGTCTTTACTAGAAGCATTTGGTTAAAATTTTAAAAAATATCTCCGTAAATAGTAAAGTTGACATTGCACATCAGATTTTTACAATATGCGATATGCTAGTCTTTACTAGAAGCATAATATGTGGTTAAAATTTCAAAAATCCATAAATAGGACATTTGACATTGCGCAGATGCGCACATCAAATTTTTACAACATGCGATATGCTCGTCTTTACTAGAAGCATCTGCGGTTAAAATTTCAAAAAATTCATAAATAGGAAAATTGACATTGCGCAGCCTGCGAATCCGCATCTCATTACAATATGCGATATGCTTGCCTTTACTAGAACCATTTGCGGTTAAAATTTCAAAAAATCCATAAATAGGAAAGCTGACATTGCACACCTTGTGCAAGCGCACATCTGACTTTTACAATATGCGATATGCTTGCCTTTACTAGAACAATCTGCGGTTAAAATTTCAAAAAATCCATAAATAGGAAAGTTGACATTGCACA